AGGACACAAAATCTCAACAAAAAAAAATTTGAAATTTTATCGTTTTAGTAAGAAGGTAGCTACCTTATGATTTAAATTTTGGAAAACTTTGGAAGGGCATAACTTTTTTTCTATTATAGATAGAAAGCTGAATCTTTCACTGAATTTTATCTTTTTCAAAGGACTACAATCTTTGAAAATTTCAGCTCATTTTCACTTATAGTTCCTGAGATAAAATCGTGTTAAGCAATTTGGGGTGATTTATCAATTTTTCTGAGTGCCTTTTTTCATAGATTTCAGCTCCAAATCTGAGAATAATTTAGTTTATGGAGTTTGTGGGATGTTGATTGACCATCAGGACACAAAATCTCAACAAAAAAAAATTTGAAATTTTATCGTTTTAGTAAGAAGGTAGCTACCTTATGATTTAAATTTTGGAAAACTTTGGAAGGGCATAACTTTTTTTCTATTATAGATAGAAAGCTGAATCTTTCACTGAATTTTATCTTTTTCAAAGGACTACAATCCCTGAAAAATTCAGCTCATTTGCACTTATGGTTCCTGAGATAAAATGGTGTTAAGCAATTTGGGGTGATTTATCAATTTTTCAATTTTTCTGAGTGCCTTTTTTCATAGATTTCAGCTCCAAATCTGAGAATAATTTAGTTTATGGAGTTTAGGGGATGTTGATTGACCATCAGGACACAAAATCTCAACAAAAAAAAATTTGAAATTTTATCGTTTTAGTAAGAAGGTAGCTACCTTATGATTTAAATTTTGGAAAACTTTGGAAGGGCATAACTTTTTTTCTATTATAGATAAAAAGCTGAATCTTTCACTGAATGTCATCATTTTCAAAGGACTACAATCCCTGAAAATTTCAGCTCATTTGCACTTATAGTTCCTGAGATAAAATCGTGTTAAGCAATTTGGGGTGATTTATCAATTTTTCAATTTTTCTGAGTGCCTTTTTTCATAGATTTCAGCTCCAAATCTGAGAATAATTTAGTTTATGGAGTTTAGGGGATGTTGATTGACCATCAGGACACAAAATCTCAACAAAAAAAAATTTGAAATTTTATCGTTTTAGTAAGAAGGTAGCTACCTTATGATTTAAATTTTGGAAAACTTTGGAAGGGCATAACTTTTTTTCTATTATAGATAGAAAGCTGAATCTTTCACTGAATGTCATCATTTTCAAAGGACTACAATCCCTGAAAATTTCAGCTCATTTGCACTTATAGTTCCTGAGATAAAATGGTGTTAAGCAATTCGGGGTGATTTATCAACTTTTCAATTTTTCTGAGTGCCTTTTTTCATAGATTTCAGCTCCAAATCTGAGAATAATTTAGTTTATGGAGTTTGGGGGATGTTGATTGACCATCAGGACACAAAATCTCAACAAAAAAAAATTTGAAATTTTATCGTTTTAGTAAGAAGGTAGCTACCTTATGATTTAAATTTTGGAAAACTTTGGAAGGGCATAACTTTTTTTCTATTATAGATAGAAAGCTGAATCTTTCACTGAATTTTATCTTTTTCAAAGGACTACAATCCCTGAAAATTTCACCTCATTTGCACTTATAGTTCCTGAGATAAAATCGTGTTAAGCAATTTGGGGTGATTTATCAATTTTTCAATTTTTCTGAGTGCCTTTTTTCATAGATTTCAGCTCCAAATCTGAGAATAATTTAGTTTATGGAGTTTGGGGGATGTTGATTGACCATCAGGACACAAAATCTCAACAAAAAAAAATTTGAAATTTTATCGTTTTAGTAAGAAGGTAGCTACCTTATGATTTAAATTTTGGAAAACTTTGGAAGGGCATAACTTTTTTTCTATTATAGATAGAAAGCTGAATCTTTCACTGAATTTTATCTTTTTCAAAGGACTACAATCTTTGAAAATTTCAGCTCATTTTCACTTATAGTTCCTGAGATAAAATCGTGTTAAGCAATTTGGGGTGATTTATCAATTTTTCTGAGTGCCTTTTTTCATAGATTTCAGCTCCAAATCTGAGAATAATTTAGTTTATGGAGTTTGTGGGATGTTGATTGACCATCAGGACACAAAATCTCAACAAAAAAAAATTTGAAATTTTATCGTTTTAGTAAGAAGGTAGCTACCTTATGATTTAAATTTTGGAAAACTTTGGAAGGGCATAACTTTTTTTCTATTATAGATAGAAAGCTGAATCTTTCACTGAATTTTATCTTTTTCAAAGGACTACAATCCCTGAAAATTTCACCTCATTTGCACTTATAGTTCCTGAGATAAAATCGTGTTAAGCAATTTGGGGTGATTTATCAATTTTTCAATTTTTCTGAGTGCCTTTTTTCATAGATTTCAGCTCCAAATCTGAGAATAATTTAGTTTATGGAGTTTGGGGGATGTTGATTGACCATCAGGACACAAAATCTCAACAAAAAAAAATTTGAAATTTTATCGTTTTAGTAAGAAGGTAGCTACCTTATGATTTAAATTTTGGAAAACTTTGGAAGGGCATAACTTTTTTTCTATTATAGATAGAAAGCTGAATCTTTCACTGAATTTTATCTTTTTCAAAGGACTACAATCCCTGAAAATTTCACCTCATTTGCACTTATAGTTCCTGAGATAAAATCGTGTTAAGCAATTTGGGGTGATTTATCAATTTTTCAATTTTTCTGAGTGCCTTTTTTCATAGATTTCAGCTCCAAATCTGAGAATAATTTAGTTTATGGAGTTTGGGGGATGTTGATTGACCATCAGGACACAAAATCTCAACAAAAAAAAATTTGAAATTTTATCGTTTTAGTAAGAAGGTATCTACCTTATGATTTAAATTTTGGAAAACTTTGAAAGGGCATAACTTTTTTTCTATTATAGATAGAAAGCTGAATCTTTCACTGAATTTTATCTTTTTCAAAGGACTACAATCCCTGAAAATTTCACCTCATTTGCACTTATAGTTCCTGAGATAAAATCGTGTTAAGCAATTTGGGGTGATTTATCAACTTTTCAATTTTTCTGAGTGCCTTTTTTCATAGATTTCAGCTCCAAATCTGAGAATAATTTAGTTTATGGAGTTTGGGGGATGTTGATTGACCATCAGGACACAAAATCTCAACAAAAAAAAATTTGAAATTTTATCGTTTTAGTAAGAAGGTAGCTACCTTATGATTTAAATTTTGGAAAACTTTGGAAGGGCATAACTTTTTTTCTATTATAGATAGAAAGCTGAATCTTTCACTGAATTTTATCTTTTTCAAAGGACTACAATCCCTGAAAATTTCACCTCATTTGCACTTATAGTTCCTGAGATAAAATCGTGTTAAGCAATTCGGGGTGATTTATCAACTTTTCAATTTTTCTGAGTGCCTTTTTTCATAGATTTCAGCTCCAAATCTGAGAATAATTTAGTTTATGGAGTTTGGGGGATGTTGATTGACCATCAGGACACAAAATCTCAACAAAAAAAAATTTGAAATTTTATCGTTTTAGTAAGAAGGTATCTACCTTATGATTTAAATTTTGGAAAACTTTGAAAGGGCATAACTTTTTTTCTATTATAGATAGAAAGCTGAATCTTTCACTGAATTTTATCTTTTTCAAAGGACTACAATCCCTGAAAATTTCACCTCATTTGCACTTATAGTTCCTGAGATAAAATCGTGTTAAGCAATTCGGGGTGATTTATCAACTTTTCAATTTTTCTGAGTGCCTTTTTTCATAGATTTCAGCTCCAAATCTGAGAATAATTTAGTTTATGGAGTTTGGGGGATGTTGATTGACCATCAGGACACAAAATCTCAACAAAAAAAAATTTGAAATTTTATCGTTTTAGTAAGAAGGTAGCTACCTTATGATTTAAATTTTGGAAAACTTTGGAAGGGCATAACTTTTTTTCTATTATAGATAGAAAGCTGAATCTTTCACTGAATTTTATCTTTTTCAAAGGACTACAATCCCTGAAAATTTCACCTCATTTGCACTTATAGTTCCTGAGATAAAATCGTGTTAAGCAATTTGGGGTGATTTATCAATTTTTCAATTTTTCTGAGTGCCTTTTTTCATAGATTTCAGCTCCAAATCTGAGAATAATTTAGTTTATGGAGTTTGGGGGATGTTGATTGACCATCAGGACACAAAATCTCAACAAAAAAAAATTTGAAATTTTATCGTTTTAGTAAGAAGGTAGCTACCTTATGATTTAAATTTTGGAAAACTTTGGAAGGGCATAACTTTTTTTCTATTATAGATAGAAAGCTGAATCTTTCACTGAATTTTATCTTTTTCAAAGGACTACAATCCCTGAAAATTTCACCTCATTTGCACTTATAGTTCCTGAGATAAAATCGTGTTAAGCAATTCGGGGTGATTTATCAACTTTTCAATTTTTCTGAGTGCCTTTTTTCATAGATTTCAGCTCCAAATCTGAGAATAATTTAGTTTATGGAGTTTGGGGGATGTTGATTGACCATCAGGACACAAAATCTCAACAAAAAAAAATTTGAAATTTTATCGTTTTAGTAAGAAGGTATCTACCTTATGATTTAAATTTTGGAAAACTTTGAAAGGGCATAACTTTTTTTCCACTATAGATAGAAAGCTGAATCTTTCACTGAAAATTATCCTTTTCAAAGGACTACAATCCCTGAAAATTTCAGCTCATTGACACTTATAGTTCCTGAGATAAAATCGTGCTAAGCAATTGTGGTGATTTATCAATTTTTCAATTTTTCTGAGTGCCTTTTTTCATGGATTTTGGCTTCAAATCTGATAATAATTTAGTTTATGGAGTTCAGGGTATCACGAGGGACCATTAGGACACAAAATCTCGACAAAAAAAAATTTGAAATTTCATCGTTTTAGTAGGAAGGTACCCCCCTTATGATTTAAATTTTGGAAAATTTTGAAAGGTCATAACTTTTTTTCTATTATAGATAGAAAGCTGAATCTTTCACTGAATTTTATCTTTTTCAAAGGACTACAATCCCTGATGCACTCAATAAAACTTTATTTTCAACACATCTCTTTACCTGTGAGGATATGGGCCTGTGATGATTACTAGGAGGTACAGGAGTGTCAAGTTGAGGTACAGGAGGTGACGAAACCATATCAAACAAACCCATGCCTGGACTGAACCCGATATCTTTGAGCGAGCTCGTAGGCGTTCGAGGTTGTTTTGGTTCTACAGGCGGTTCCTCACACAAATATACCTGAAAATGCATCAAATCAATCAAATAAGTAACAATTTATACAGAATTTGCCTACTTCTATGGGTCCATCCAAACTCTTCATTCTTATGGTAGCCCTGTCTGGATTATTTTCATCAGCTTTTTCCTCGCCCGTAGGTACTGAAAGTTGCGTATTGGGGGGCGCCTTGATGACTATCACAGCCTTATTTTTAAATTTTTCAACACCCCAGAGGTCGTTGTGTGACACATACCCATATCTATTGAAAAAAATATAATTTGCCTTACAGCACTCTAAAATGCATATTACAATTTACATTTCGTTTGAAAACAGGCATAAATACTATTTTCTTTTAATGAAATTTGCATTCCCCCTTCATACTCGAGTTTCACAGCCCAGTAAACTCAAGGACCCGTCCTCGCTTACATAAATTATTTATCACATTTAAAAATTTTAAGTTTACGCTATATTTGCAAGAGCTTTTTATTCAAATGCGAGATGCGCCCTGAATGGGCGTTTTATTTAATTGCAAGGGATTAAATAAAAATGTTTTTTATTTACAAACTTATGAGACTAATTAACAGAGGCAATAGGTACCAGAAATAATTAATATTATATTATCGTAGTGTATCGTATTGTAATATAAAAATTTGACAAAGAGTAGACCTATATTATTATTTTTCTGCATGGAAAAATTTATTTGACCTAAAATCCCCAAAGAACCTGTTACCAACACATGTTTTCAAAGAATTTCCAACAACAGCTTCCTGTTAAGACATTCTGGAAGCCATAAATTTCAATGTAGGATCAGGTTGGGTGGGTTCAAATTATAATCTACTCTAGTGTGAGAATTACACAGAAACAAAAAAAAAAAGATGCTGCTTGAAAATCAAATAATAGTTGGTCTACCTGAGGGAACCCTCACATAACAGTAAAATAATGGAATGCATAAAACAAACCTAATGAACCAGTTTTTTTAAAATAGCTCCCTGTTCTTTATGAAAACTAGAACAGGGGTAAACAACCCTAGGAATGATGTAATCTAGATTAATAAAATTACACATGTTAATGTAACTGGCAAGATACATAACCAGACATCGCGATAAAAAAAAAACTTAAAGTTGACTCATTATGATAATTATTAGCATTTTAAGTGTGTATGGAGTTCGATGACACCCGCGCAGACTTGTGTTACATCACAATGCCAAATTTAAAAGTCCTACCAAACAGGAATTCTTTGCCGATGGTACCTACCTTCACATTTGTCAATTATTTATTAACTGCTATTTAGAGCATCTGAGTATAATTGGAAAAATTATTATGAATATTCATTATTGTATCTATTGAAAAACATTCAAAAATTATAAGCTTTTGTTGGCCGGTTTTAAGAGGCTTGCAAAATTCTATATGATGTTGACAAAATATAAAGTTGCTGCGTTCTTTGGGATTAGAAATTAAATTTAAATTTGGCTCAAGCAGAATATTGCAGCAAGAAATGGGAAAGTTTATTTACTCACGAGCTTACTTGACAAACTGTTTAGGGAAATTCTTTATTAGTATTAATAATAAGAAGCAGGGATTGCAAATAACATGATATTTTTTTTGTACTGAGTGATAATTAACACAATTTTAAGAAAATTTCTACTTACTTGTCATTACTCAACATCCTCAAATCCCGGTCAGCGATTTTCAGTTGCCTATCCAACTGATTCTCCCTATCCTCCAACTTTTGCAATTTGACTTTCAAACCATAAAAATGGTTGTTGTTGGTACCGCCCTTCCACTGAATATTATTTTTAGACTTTTTCTCCAACAGCCCAATGCCTTCCAACACATTAGTAATGTCGTATATCCTCCGTTTTTGTACGCACAAGTCTGCTGAGGCCTTGTTCAAGTCCACAACCCCATTGGGACTTTTCTGAATCAGATCAGAAAACTTTTTGGTCAAAAGGCTCAGGGACGTGTCATAGCGAGGCTTGCGCGACAAAGATTGCTTTTTTTGGCGTTTGGGCTGCGGCGTTTTAAACTCATGCTTGATCGGTACTATATTGAAGTTGCCTTCAAGATTGAGTTTTCTTTTTACGGAAGGGGCTGCAGGATAAAACTGAGGGTTTATAAATTTGCATTAATTTATCCAAAGTTCTAACCTGATGATGGTGTCTGGGTCATCATTTGATTCCTGGGAGTGACATAGGCGTGGTCAATCATATGAGGACTTGGCGTGAATTCTTGTTTTATGAACTCTTGCTTGACAACAGTCATGTCTGGTGTAGTTGTATAAACCATGTTTCTACTTGAAAAAAAAAGTTTCAATTGCAAAAACTTGACCAATTAGAATTAATATACCTGTAAACTTTTGAAGGGCTTTCGCCCTGTTGAATTCCAAGTGATTTAGGCATTTTTGAGATGCTGGCTGCTACTTAGATATCATTTTTAATTTTCTGGAAAACTAAATACCAAAATAATTTAATTATGCTACATAATAAACAGTTCCATTATTATGCACAATTTTGTTAATAATGCTTTGGTGAAGATAAGCTACTGGCCATGTGCCACCTCATTTTCATAATCTAATATTGTATTTTAAGCAATTTAGTTAATTTTTTTTAGAAATAATATTCAATATTAAACATAAACAGATAAAAAGGTAGATATCAATATATTGATCATTGTTATGCAAAATTTACAGTTGCGCTATGCGAAGCTTTAAATAATCATAACCAATTTAATTTGTTCTCCCAGCGTAATGATTCAACATAAGTACCTATCGTGTATTGTTTAAATAAATGTGGTGTAATTATATCAAATGGTTACTCATGCCTGAACGGTCGGATTCAATGTTGTACAGATTGGTAACATACTTTTGTTACATTTTAATGTAAATATTTTTTGCTAAGATTGAACATTGAAACCTAAATATGATGCGGATAAAGTGAAACTTAAGAACCCACTAAGGATGAGTAAAGAAATATTTTAGCAGTTCACATATACAGTAATTTGCTTTTATTACAAACCCGCTTATAGTGAACTTTCGTATAGCAAGCAAATTATTAAATTATAATTAAATATGAGGTGTTGGTAAATATAAAAATCTACAGCCTTTTATTTTCCACTTTATTAGAGTAGGCATACATTTTTTTGGAATATGTAATCCTTTTGAATTTCTATATATGGAAACATTATGTATCATCTTCAAAAGAGTTATCTACTAATAATTGTGACTGGTTGTACTAAAAATTCTACCTTCTTTTTTCTATCTATGAACTTATAAATTGCCTTGAAGCCCTGAGAAAAAATCAGAAGGTCGCCTTATCACTACAATTATTCTCAAATTAAATAATTATGACATAACAAAATAGTAATTGATTTGAAGGCAGCAGTAGACCCTGCCACACTACTTTGTTTATTATTTAAGTACTTGAATAATAGTTACTATAAGTGAGTTATCAATGTTATCAAAATAATCACACTTTCATGAAGCAGCCTGACTAATTTTACAATTTTATGAATGCTACTAACTTTGGTAAGCATACATTTTTAGAGAGTTTTATAAATTTACCTGATTTTGATTTTCCTAGAGTACCTTTATAGTTCCTAAAAACAATCAAAATATCTTTGAGGAATATTTGGTTCCACAAATCATTGAAAACATCCATCAGACCATTTCTCTGAAGCTAATAACGTTGTTTAATTAATTTAAAATAAATGAGAAAATAATATAACATTTTCCAAATCAGATATTATAAGTTCTGTTATTATCTTGCCTGAAGACCAATGGGCTATTTGACCAAAATTTCATATACAGTAAAGCTTCGCTAATACGAACTCCAATAATCTGGATTTCTCAGTAATCCGGATAAAATTAAAATATTAGATGTTAACATTATGTTTTCTATAATCCGGATTACCTGTGATTCTATAATCCAGATCATAATTTTTTGCGCAGTTCGCCAATCGCTACAGGTGGTGTTACCAAAGTCTATGTCGGTGAATCCCCTTATTTCACCGAAAACGATACATTTGTTTCTGTGACAAGGGTGGAAAGCTCAGTAGGAAGCATCATGGCGCTAAAGAGAGCACACAAAACGTTAACTCTAGCGGAAAAACATGATATTTTGCAGAAATTAACTGTACTATGTAATTAGCACCTATTTTGAGTTAATAAACTACAGTTTTTGACGTATTTTTGTTACTTTTCAAAAGGTTCCAATAATTCGGATTGCCTTGGTTTTTATTGATCCGGATTAGTGGAGCTTCACTGTACGTAATTTATCTATGAGGTCAGAACAGTTTTCTATAGACACTTCAAAACTGGAAAAATTTGAAAATATTAAAACGCTCTATACGATGACGTATTAAAAATAAAATTTTAACCGAAGAGTCAAGGCGCAAAAAGGTTTAATTGCTTTGCCAGTTGTGACTAAGGGCAGGTATTATAAGGATATTTTGATAGATTAACTTCTGGAATTACTATGAGAAGTAACATCATTACAGAAGTTAACTCTTAGTTACTCTGTTTTATAATACCTGCCCTAAATCTCTGACTAATGTAGTGCGTTGTGAGAAAAAAATAAATAATAAAAGGTATAAAAATAATTTAGAAAAAAAGTGTTATAAAATCTTGAATCTGTAACCGTGTACCTAATTAAATTATTGATTTTTCTTGGTATTTTGCCAACACGTTAGAATAAAAATAGTGGCAACACGTGTATTTTTATTTAGAGAGTTTTCCTTTTTATTTATTTTCTTAAAAGTAAGGGTGCAGGAAATTCTATTTTCAGTTGATTTAAATTCAATTTTGCACATTTGAAATTTTTTGTTTGTCATAGATTTACTTGGTATAAATTAAGTGTGCTGTGGTCTCCTATCCTATACGAGAAAAGTTGATTACATTACGAATGATTATTTTGTAAGTGTTGAGCAGGAAATCAAAAGTTATAGACTTGGGAGTTATGTGTCATCAAGGTTTAAAATTTAATAATCATTATTAAACTATTGCTGCCAAACCTTATAAGGCTCCTGGCTTTGTAATACTCAATAGTAAGAATTTTCAGATTTCAACCATTCTTATGTTGTATAATAGTAATCAATCAGGCGTACATGGAAATTACTTGACAATCTCTGGGAATAACCCGGAAATCACTAGGCATAACCTAGGACCCAAAGGGATTCACATAGGAATCCATTGGTAATTGCTGAGAATCATGAAAATGTGGTTATTGCATCTCATTCTAACCAAGAAATCGCATATTATACATTTTAAATGATACAGCGTACTGATCAGTTGTGTATTTGCCTTTAAGACTAGTTTCACGCAACATTGTGTGCTAGACAATTTGAAATGTATTTAATATCCCAACGAGTTTCCCAATAACTGAGCCAGTAATTGAACCTGAGACTACAAAGAGTTTAGAACTTGGAGAAGAAGAAGAACGAGATGAGGATTAGGTCTGTTCTCACAAAAATCACAAACCAGTCAGAGCGTTTTTGATTGGTGCAAATCACCAAGAACCAGCTTTCTGACTATTTTCAACCAATGAAATTTGCTCTGACTGGTTTGTGATTCCTGTGAGACGAACCTAAAGTATGACAATATTGTAGTGTAGATCATAGAAATGAAAACATGAATCTTGAAATTTCTCCTGAATCCGACTTGACAAAAAAAGACACAAAATTTCTTCACATATCAGGGTTTAGCACAACCCTTTGAAAGGTTTTTTGTTCCTCTTTAGAGGCGCGATCATTTCATGTCAGTTACAATATAGTATATGATCACTTGACTCGTCATCTGGAAAACACAAAAACAATTTTGCTTGGTAAAGTTGAAGAGCATTCAGCTATTCTATTAAAGCCCCATTAGGCTGAATTCACTTGAAATTACGTTGTGCAGCTGACACCCAACAGCAAATCATAATTCAACCATTTCTCGCCGGTATTCGGTAGTGCCCCACTGCTACACTTACCTTTAATAGTATAATCGTGTAACAAATGAGATCCTAACCTATTATGGCAGACGGCTTCTCCGGGGGACAGCAATTACCAAAAAGAAATAATCACATTATGATTTGTTGCCCTGGATATCAGTGAAACGCAACTTCAATTGTTAAGGGGAAGTTATTGAAAACATCCACAGCCAAATGCTTAAAGTCTAATACCAAATATGCTCAACTAGAAGTAGCTTACCAAAATTCTGATTTGAGGGGTAGTTAGGATCATAGCTTGGGTAATTATTATTTTTTTAATAGCTTATTCCTCCACAATAGTCTACTGCCGAATGACGAATATAAAAATAGATAAGAAAAGAAAGGTACAATAGCTTGTTTACATTACCCTTGTTCCTTTTTTTTAGCTTCAGTCACACTTCAGTGATGATTCATCAATTCGGTATGATATTGAAATAAACAAATCCTCCTATCACTTGCTGAAATGCACAAAATACCAATAATTTTGTATTATTTCGAAAATGTGTCCAGGCAATAGGTATTTTTTACGAGAAAAAAATAGTAGGTATAGATTTTAAATTTTGACAATTTGTTCAGATGGACATAGTAAGTCGGAATCTCATTTTGCAATAGTCTAGGGGGGTAGGCTTGCTAAATGGGGGTGGTTTTTTGAAAAAATGACGGTTGTGGTAGAACACTGCTAAAATCATGAATAATCGCTCATATTTTCAATGAAATTTGGAAAACTTGGTTACAATTACTTATACATCAATGGAAAGAATATTAAATTCTCTATAAGCTCTGCAAAATTGCTTTTTGTAACTTGTTAAGTTTCCAGGATATTGAGTTTCAAAGTCGAAAGTTGATCGACATTTTGTCCAAAACTTAAAACTCAATTTTCATGAAAACCCTAAACTATAGAGAGTTCAGTAGAGTACTACTACTACTATCACTACTCTGTTTATTTTGGTCATTGAACATGGTTTTTGTAATAAAATCAGCTGGAAATCGGATGATTGTAGTGAATTATCAAGGAAATCAGGTAATCAATCAATTGGGAATGATATCGGAAATCCAAAAAAAAAAAAAATGGAAATTACCTGGTAATCATACAAAAATATCTGAAAATCATTGGCAATCAGTTGCAAGTCTTGAGATGGGAATACCTACATGGGATTCATTGATCAGGAATTGCCAAGATTTCTGTATGTAAGAAAAAATAATGCTTTCCCATATCTGGGATGAGATGTCATCAATAGAAACATGCTCTTTTAGAGCTACATTAGATTTTATGTCATTAGTTGACTCTTTAATGTGAGCTGGTTCTTATTATCTATCTTTATGTTTGTCATAATATGAGCTGTAAACTTGACAAAACCTAAATATAGTTGTAAATGAGATGAGCCTATAGAATCTAAAACTTTTTCTAGAAAATTTCTTCAGGAATTATTGAAGTGATTCTCCTATTCCAAGCTCTTGAATTTATTTTGAAATTTCATGAGTTATT